AAAACCAAGGCAGATCTGCTGCATGAGGTTCAGGGCATGGTCCTGGATCACGATGGGCAGATCAAGCATCTGCTGGAGTCAGCCCGGCCCTCACCCCTCACCTCCATCGACCTGCTGGAGGAGTACGTGGACACGAGGCTGAGCAACCTGCGTGGAGAGCTGCTTGATGGCTTTGAGAAGAAGCTGGGGAAGATCCAGACCACGTGCGATTTTCGGATCCAAGAGGTGCGGCAGCAGTGTGAGGAGGAGAAAGCTGCCAACCTGCGGCTGCAACAGACGCTGGATGGGAAGGAGCTGGAGATCAAGAAAGAGATCTCCCAGCTGGAGACCCAGATCCAAGGGCTGACAGTGGTGGAAAGCTGCTGCAGCAACCTGGACTACCTCACCGATCGCATGAACATCCTTGAGAAAGGCCTTCACAGCATCTCTGAGTCCCAGAAGAACTTGCACTCACGGTTGGATGGAGAAATCTCCACTGTCACCCTGGGGAATCTCTTTGAGGGACGCTTTGAGGACCTGGAAGCCAGGCTCAATGCTACAGAGAGGGAAACAGGGAACTGCTGCTCTGGTATAGAGGACAGCATGAGAGGCACAGTGGTGGCAGAGGTGGATGGCATGAGGACTGCCTTTGAAGACAAAGTGCAAACCCTGGAGGACAGGTTCATGACCATTGTGGGGGAGCTGAACAATTCCAGTTCTCCCACGGGAATGGATGGAGCAGTGGTGCCTGTGCTGGAAGGGGAGCTCGCCAGCATGAGGAAACGAACAGATGAGACACTGGAGGTGTTACAGAGTCGCCTTGTCACACTGGAGAGCACTTGTTCCCTGGGATGTACCTCTGCCTCCAAAGATGTGGAGACCTTCCGGACAGAGATTGAAGACTGCCAGAACAAAAACCAGGACCTGCTTCTCCGTATGGACAGCAATTACGACCTCCTGCGCAAGCTGAATGCCACCATCCTGGAGATTCAGCGGCGAATCGAGGAGGAAGCATCAGGGGCTTTGCAAGGGGAGATCACCTTGCTAAAGATCAACCTGAACACCGTGAGCAAGTCTCTGACGGGGCTCAAGGACTCTGTCTCCCAGTACTCGGACACTGTGACACATGTCAACTCCTCGCTGGATGAGCACGAGCGGAAGATTGAGGACGAGGTCCACTCCATCCAGGAGAAAGTCAGCGACCAAGGCTCCCAACTCTTCTTCAGCAACCGACGTGTTCTGAACCTCAAGGGAGACCTGGAGCGACTCAAAGCCAGGATTGTCAGTGACCTGAGCTCCTGCAAGAACGTGGCCCATGACCTGCAGCAGGAGATCTCTCACTTCGACGAGCGGGTGGCGCGGGTGGAGAGTGCCTGTGGCAGGCTGGGTGCCATCACAGGGAGCCTGGACGACATCAGGGAGGAACTGGAGAAACACACGGGCAGTCTGTGGGACTACATGGACCACATGAACGGGACCCTGGCTGCCCACTCTCAGGAAATAACAGGACTGAAGGACAACCTGCTTGACTGCCAAGCCAAGATCTCTGAGCTGGCGGAACAGGTTGGGCACTTGGAAGAGAAGGCAGAGGAGAGGCAGCATTAGCCACACTGCCATGTGCATTGTCTTCTCCCCCCATGAAGGACAGGATTAACTTATATCACACAGACTCACTCCAATGTGACAACAGTTCTTGGGATAATTTTTTTTAATGAAAAGCTGCTACTTTTTTTCCTTAAACTTGTTGGCCCCACTTTTCCATAACTGCCGTGCTGGTACTCCCCTCCCAATGCTCGGCAGCTGTCCCGACCCTGGTGCAGCAGTGTCACTGCCTCCTGGCCGGGGGTGTTGCTTTGGCTCCTGGGCTGATGACCCCAGAAGGACAATTCAGAAGGAAGCTGGAGGCGGGAATGTTGTTGGCTTTTTATTTTATTTTTTTGTGGATTTATCACTTCTTGAAGAATAAACCCCCGTAGTTATCAGCTGAGGAATAGCTTTTCTGACCTAAAGACCACCTGCATCTTAATCCAGGGACTGAGCAGAGCCAGGGCTCCTTACAGGGAACAAAACTTACCACAGGAATTGCTGATTTCAAAGAACACACGTATTCACACGTCCCCCTGGGAACTGGCTTCCCCTCTCCGAGACGGCAGCCCTCCTTGTGTATGGTAAATCCATTTATACTGCTCCCTCCTCCATGCAGATGCACATGCCTTATGGAGCCTATGAGGGTATGCATTAGGAAAACACATATATGCATATATATGTGTGTGTGTGTGTGTGTGGTGCTGTATGTATATTTTTGAACAATCCACTGTCATGGTGCTCATCTGATTTGCAGAGTTTCCTCCTGCTGTCCCCATGTCTCTTGCCATATTCCAAAGAGCCACACTGAGCAGCTAAAACCTGCAGCAGCAGTGTCTGGGGAGAGCCCCACAGTCCCCAGAGCTGCTGTGCTTTGCAATCCCACGTTGCTCTGTGGTTACACCTGGGACTGACACGATGGGTTATGGAAAACATGTGTCTTCTCCAAGGAGACATGTGTCAGTAGGTCTCTGCAGAGACCAGGCTGGGCAAAGAACAGTCCTGTCCGCCAGCTCTGGTTCTCTCCTGTTTTATTGCTTAAACTGTGAATGTGGTTTCCCCTCATCTCGACCCAGGGCCGGAGAGTTCCAGCTGCTCCAGGGTGCGAGTGCAGCAGTGTGGGAGCAGGAGCTTGCATCCTCCTCACATTCCTCTGGGCCCTGGGACCCACACCGATGTGGGGCAAGGCAGGGCACCTTTGAGAAGACCTCTGGAGACCTCTCCTCAGCTCAGCCTGGGAACGAAAATGCTGAGTGATTTACCCAGCTTGACTATGGTTTCCCATGAACAGGCAGGCTGCAAGAGGAGGTTGTACATGTTCCTGAGCAGCTCCAGCCTTGTCCTATGGAGCTGTCGCACACAGAACCTGCCTCTTCCCAGAAACCCACCAAGGGTGTCCTCGGCTGATCAGCCAACAGGGTATTCATTACTAGGATGAAGAGGAAATTAAAGAGCCTCGATCCAAGCAGCTCTGGCACTTTATAGCAGAGGAACATATTTCTCTAATAGCTCAGCGTTGCAGCTCACAGACCCTTCCACACCAGCCAGACTTCAGCTCCTACCTGGTGCCCATGACCCTCACCAGGCTGTCCCTGCTCTTCTTCACTACAATTCCCTCCCTGATCCCCCCCTGACTGCATGAAGGAGAAGCTCTGTGCTCCAACCAGCACAAAGCAGCAGTAGCTCCCGGTAGAGGTGCATCTGTGCACCTTTTCTCCTCCATAAAAACTGGGTGAGCTCCCTGAAACATGCTTCCAGGCTGGGGAGGACCACAGGGATCCAGTTGGCCACATGATGTTCCCCAATGCAGTTTAAGTTCATTTCCCTGCCAGAGGAGCATGGGCCATCAGCTGTGGGAGCAGGGACCTGGCCCCCCCACCAGTCCCCCAGCCCCACCAGATGATCACAGCACCAGAATCCACTCTCACTGCTCTGGGCTTAGCTGATTTGGAGCTACGCTGCAGCTGCTGAGACACTTCTCCAGCTGCTGTTGGGCATCCTGCAAAATTTGCTCTTAGACAACAAAATCTACTTTATTTTTTTCCCCAGCCCAAGAAAGAAGTCTTCAGTACTTTGTGATGGGCCAGGGAAGCCCTCACCCCACAGGAGCATCCTGCCTCAGCCCCCTTCCCATCCCCTCACACCTGGGAGAAAAAGGGCTGCAGCAACCAAAGAGAAAACCAAGCCAAGGGCCAGGCTCCCCCTTCCCCAGCCAGGTCTGGGTTAGAGTGCCTGAACAGGAACAGCTTCCCCCAGTACAGAGGGAGCCAGGACTGGCCATAACAAAACTAGGACAAGGAAGACGTCTGACCTTCCAGAAAATGGTGCTATGTTTGGACTATTCCTGACTAGTCACTTGAAGCTATGGACAGTTTGTATTTCAGTTCTCAGCTATTCATGTTTAAAAAGTGAAAGGAACTTTGTACAAAACTGGGCATTTTTTTTTTATTGCTTGCAGAGGGAAGAAATGGTGGCCATGGGGTTGTCCTTGCATGGGCAGCTTTCCGAGGCAGTTGGTAACTGATCCCTTTAAAAGGCTGTGTTCTATTGTTTTTAAAACCTTGTACATTTGTTCAGATTTTAAAAGCCGAAAAAGTATTTGTACTGGAAAGGAAAAAAAATAAAGTATTTCTTGCTGAGGTTTCCAGGATCAAAATGACTTGTGTGGCTTCCAGAAATGGCAGACTAGGAGATGATTTACACTCACAGCAGTCAGGGAAGGAGAAGGTGGATGCCAGACTGGAGGAAGGAGTGCACACATATAAAGCCAGGATTTGTCTCCTGTATTAAATCAATTTTTCTATCTTAGCCTTTTTCTGGAAGCTGGTCCCATCTCCACCAGGACCCCTTTGTCAGGATGCTTCAGCAGAATAAACCCAACCACATTTTAAAATGACCTGGAGCCTGGTTCCCACTCCTATGGACAAGGCTACAGCAGACAAGAGGCAGCCTGGATTAAGGCACTATTTATTATTGCTATTAGTGAAGAACACTTAAAGACCCAACATCTTCCATCCACCTTAGCGAGTTGGTGGGCAGTTTCACTCCATCAGCTAGCAAACCAGATACCTGGATTTGCTCTGCTGCAGGTAACAATAGCTAGGCCAGAAGCTCATCAATAAATAAAAGAGTGACCCAGCCCCACCTTTAAAAAAGAGCCAGGCTTTAGAGGGGTCATGAACATTAGAAGAGACTCTGCTTACAGGGATTTTAGTTTAGTAACTGGAGTTTTTGTAGAGTCAGAGCTTCTTCTTACACCCTTTGACTGTCTGGAAAGGGGTGTTGTTTCTAGCACAGGTCATGACCACAGATCAACTGCACCTCAAGTGCAAAATGCCTGAGCAGCAAACGGAGGAGGAGGAGGTGCATCTGGAGCATTCAGTCCTCGCAAAGAACACACAGGAGAGCCCTGGGTCAGGTCTCCACAGGGAACAGGGTTAGGAGAAGGCATCTAAGTCAACAACAGGCAGTGGAGGTCTCCAGTGGGCAAAGTGGCTGTACTCTGGGCACACCAGAGCAATGCTCCCACTCTGTCCCAGGGGAGGGAAGACAAGCTCCACCAGCTCTGACAGCCGCTCATACCTGTGGGGTTAAGAGAGAAGTTGTATTGGGGTCATTGGGCAGTTGTTTGCTTTTCTACCCCATGAGATGCTTCTCTGGGTTAAAGTCAGGTTAACCCAAAGGTGCTGAGGAATAAGCACATTGCTTACGTTGACTTGTGGCTCTTCATGAGCTCCTGGATCAGCTCTCCCTTGGGGTTGACAGTGAATATGTGGCTCTCTGGCAGCCCCACTTGCTTGTAAGCATAGACATCCTGCTCAAGGAAGGTCAGCAGATCATGAGAGCTGCAGGAAGGCACCACCACCCATCCTGAGCCCTCCCTCCACCCCTGGAGACCCACTCACATTGGTCCTGTTCCCAAAGGCCGCATAGAAAGGGTGATTCATGGCAAACAGGTTTTGGATGTCCGTCAAGCAAGCCACCTTGAATACCTCTGGCTTCTTCTCAATCACCTCCCTGCAGCACAAGACACATGCACAGAGCAGAGGTCAGAGTGGCATCAGGTGGCCAGAACTGCAGACAGCCAGGCTGTCTGGGGCTCAGGGAAGTGATTTGAAGGACCAGAGTTTTTTGTGCATGAGGAGCTTCTCCTCAGGGAACAGGCAGCTCCCATGCTACCTGCAATAAGACTCATCATGCACCAAGGAGGGCAGAACAATTTAAGGCTGTGACATCCTTCAGTGTTGAGCTGGGGAAGGAGGTACTGCCTCCAGGTACATGGGAGGTACAGGAGAGGACACAGTACCTGTGGAAGGCAGAGTAGAGGCTGCTGGGGGCAAGCAGGATGGGGCCCCTGGGGAGGGCACAGCCTTGCTCAGTGACCCATTTGAGGTAGCTTTTGGTGATGTGGGCCATGCCGATTGCCCTGGCTGAGCAGTAGAGAAACTTGTAGCCATTCCTAGAGAGAACACAGAAAACCCCTCAGAGCTGTGACCCGGGCAAGGCATTCTCCTGCTCTGAGCAGGAAGAGGAGGCAGTCAGGTACCTGACCTAAGCCCAAACCTGTTCACCCTTTCAGAAAACAAGGTGGTTGGTTCACCAACAGTGTGACCCTCTTCCCCAGCGACCCGGGCTAAGTCCAGTACTCATCTCCCTCACCCTGGGGCTCCTGCACCACCCTCCCAGCAGCCACATTCCCACCCAGCTGCACAGCACCCATTGCTGCTCAGTACCCATGCACCCAGCTGGGAACCCCAGGCAGCATCTCCATCCCACTGGGCTGCCTGTGCGGGGCTGTACCCAGCCTTCACAGACCCCTGGGCAGCATCTCCATCCCCCGGGGCTGCCTGTGAGGGGCTGTACCCAGCCTTCACAGACCCCAGGAGCATCTCCATCCCCCGGGGCTGCCTGTGAGGGGCTGTCACCAGCCGACCGTGGGGGGCTGTACCCAGCCCTCGCAGGGCAGGGGGCGGCTCTGCAGAGGTGGTACCAGGGTGGCCGGAGGCAGTCGAGGTGCTGGTCCCGTCCCTGCAGTCCCCGGGAGCGGGAGCCCCCATCCCTCCTGGGGCCAGAACAAGCCATCCACGGGCCCACAGTGCCTCTCAGTGGCCACAGGGGCCAGGGACCGAGCTGGTGGCTCCGCAGGGACCCAGTGCTAATGTCACCCCTCGGGGGTCGGTCCCCTGGGCTTTAGGAAGAGATCGCTGGGCACTCAGAGAGGCATCAGCACTGCCCCAGGGGCTGGCAGTGCTGGGACCCCCATGCCACCACTCTCGGGTGTGACCTTGGGTGGTCTCATCTGCTTCGGTGCTCAGCTACATCTCCCCAGCAAAGCCTTCACCGACACACACTCCTTTTCCAGGGAAGGCAATGCCAGAAACTGGTCCCAGGGGACCCCCGGCTCTCACCCCCCAGCATCATGTAGCCAATACAACAAGCATCATCCATCACTGACAGCCAATAATGAGGCAATCCTGGCCATCATCAGCAAGTAAAGAGCCCTCAAACTGACTCCCACTCAGTCTCTTCTCCTTCAGCTTCCCACTTCCCCCTGGCCTCAATTGATCCAATACCTACAGGTGAATTTTGTGGAAGAGTTTAACAATCCCACGATGAGTCCAGTCTTTTCCCAGATGTGGCAAGATATGTCCAAGAGCATCTGACCTAGAAGGAAAGGACACTGGGTTAGTGTGATTCACCCTGGTGGGTACCCATCCACACCACAATGGGGTTTGTGGTCCTGTCTGCTTATGCAAAAGCCTTTAACAGACACTTCTCCTAATGGGGGAAAACAGGGATTTTGGAGTGGAAGAAAGGCCTTTTACCTGGTGATGGTGCCATCAATGTCTGAGATGACCACCTTGTCATCCCAGTTCCATAGGTAGATGGTGGCCTCACAGCGGCACGTGCCCTGGTACTGTGTTGTCACACTGAATGCCACTTCATTGGGGCCATCCTGCAGGTTCAACCTTTCCTGTGGCAGAGGGACAGCAAAATGTATTACAGCAGCAGCAATTCACACCAGTCTAAGGCTTGCCAGAGGCCAGACTGCCACCCAGCCAGGCTAGAGACCCCAAGCCCCCAAAGGGTGACCACCCAGAGCAGAATACCTGGATGCCCTATAAAAACATGAGGTCAGGAGAAGAAAAATCCCTTTTTAAGGGTTTCATACAGAGGCAGTGAAGGTGGAGGAGTAAAGTACATACAATTTGTTCAGAGGAGAGCCGCAGGGATTTCTTGTAGGTTGGCAGAGGTTTCTGAGCAGGAGTCTCCATTGCCAACATGTCCCCAGGGTGCAGGGGCTCATCATCACTGGATGACACCTCTTCCTCCTGCCTGCACAAAGGGAAGAACATTTTGGCTTTACTTTGCAGACCACAGCTTTCCCCATGAACATCAGAAGAGATCTGGAGGGGACTCAGGACAACCCACTCATCACAAAGCATCCATGGAGGAGCTTGGCTGGACCAGGGTCAGCCAGAGTCTTAACAGAGCTTTCTGCCCTTTTACATTAGGTAAACTTGGAAATTACTGGTCACATAGGAGGAGAAGAGATCAGGAGCATGCAGACTCCTGAAGGTGACCTGGGAGAGAGGCACTCACCTCTGTTGAGCAGAGTCAGGCTGCGGTGTCCCCACGCTGGCTTTCCTTGGCCTCAACTGCTGCTGCAGGCAGAAAGGAGTGTGCTGGTTTGGGCTGGGGTAGAGTTAATTTTCTTCACAGTGGCTAGTATGGGGCTGTGTTCTGGATTTGTGCTGAACAGTGTTGATAACAGAGATGTTTTAGTTATTGTTGAGCAGGGCAGGAGCAGGGGCTGCTTTGCTTTTCTTCCATTTGAAGCAGCAATACCAAAAGAGAGGCAGCAATGCTCCCCCTGCCTTTGTGAGGACACTGCCTGTGGAAGAAGCACAGCCTGGTGCTGTGGTGGGGCAGGGAGACCATCAGGCACACGTGGTGCCTGGAGACCTGGAATGAGGGTCACATGGCTGGAGGTCTCACCATTATAAAGTCCATGTTACTGCAATACCAGGTATTGTTCTGCTGCTCAGGTACTAGCAGACCCAAGGAGACAGCAGCAACCTTCAGAAGTCACCTTGCTAGGTCCTGGATATCCTCATACTCAGCATCTCAGGCCATGCCCAGGACATTCTGGTCTCTTACTCCCACCCCTGCCAGTTACCAGAACAATGCCTGAGGACATAATTGTCACAGCCATTACTCAAACACACCTCCTCTGCTGGGAATTCTCTCCTCCTCCAGGAAAACCACCACCTTCTGTCTGTCTTGGGCATCTTCTCCTTCACCAGTTGGTTTATGATACTCTGTGAACAAGGAAGAACATTGGATGAAGTCAGTCCTCAGCCCAGGGAGGCTCAGCCCAGGATTCTCAGGCCTTGCTGAAAATCATGGCCATAAGTGTGTTGTACCACTGACCTCAGGAATGTTCCTTTGGAAAGCCTGCAGGGACAGGACCATGGGAGCAGCCACTGCCCAGTTGTAATACCTGGAAGAAGAGGGATGGGCACATCACCAATCCCGGAGCGAGGGCTTTTTACAGATTACCATCCTACAGCACGGCCAGGTCCCCTCCCACAACTAGTGCAGTACAATCATGCTCTGCAATGGAGTCACATTCCTACAGGAGGGTCTCCATAGGGACAAAGTGGCCACACTGGCCACTGTGGGATGAAGCAGCAGGAAGAACAGGCCACTCACTTCTTGTTGATTAGTATCACCAGGTTCGGGTCATAGATGAGCCCTGGATTCTCAGCAAACTGCTGGTAGGAGACCATGCACTCCATGAACTTCTCTGGTGGGACAGAGGCTGTGTCATGCCACTGGTGTATATAATGGATTTCAGGGCTGCAGGTTCCCCTTTCCCTCCCACCTACCGTGAGAGATCTGCCTGCTGTCCCCCAGGCCCCCACACAGGGACAGGGCAACTGTGGGCAGTGAGACCGAGTCGGAGTCTGTGGGGCTGTCAGCAGGCAAGTTGGATGGCAGCTGGACAGACACAGGGCTGCTGGGGTCTGTCACAGGCCTTGAACTCTGCTCTGTGTCACTATGAGCAAGAGAAGAAACAGTGATGACATCAGGCAATGGTTTTAGACATACCTCCATCCTTTGCACCAAGGGAATGGCTCAAGAAGGTCTGAGCTTGGCCAGCTGGGGAAATTCATACCTCCTGGGGAAATACAGAGCCACCTGCTCTTCATCCAGGTTGGAGAGGTCTTCCAGGTAAACATCACTGGGACCCAAGTGAGGACTTCTTTTCATGGATCCTCAATGCACAGAGAAAAGAGAGAGAGAGAGCTTAGCTGAATCACCTTTCCAACCACCCCAGCATCTATCAAGAAACCTAACAGCATTTTCCTCCATCCTATCCATGTATCATACAAACAGGACATCCATTTTCCTACTTGAAAAGCTGTCATAAGTCAACAGCAACATAAGTGTCTCAAGACACCTGCACCGGTGTGATCCTTAAATAAACTGTCAATGGGTACACATAAATGCTTCTCTGTGATCTTCCTCCCAACTTGGTGTGCTCAGGACAAAGACACAAGCCAGACCACGTGCTGCCAGACACTTCAAGTTAAGGTATGGTCTGTACTGCTGAGAAATCCTCTAAGCGTGGAAAAGCAGAGACGTCCAAGGATGGACTTCAGGGAGCATAAGGCAAGAAAGCCTTCCTGGGAGCTAAGTGGTCACTGAAGGGTAGAAATCTGAGGGATGTCTCTTCAAAGTGAAAGAGCTGGTAGCACTCAGAGAGCAAAGCAAACACGCCACACTGGGAGTACCCAGGGCAGTCACAAAGGAGTTACACTGAGTGAACAACCCAGGCCCTCAGAGTCAGACACATCTGAAGGGTCAAACACCACTTCCAGCAGCATCAGTCACCCTCTCACCTTGCCTCCTCTGCCTCTCCAGCTGAGACTCAGGGCCTTCTGAGCCTGCCTGCCTCAGAGCAGTGGCTTCCTCAAAGGGCTCCACACTTGCCTGAACCTCTGGCACAACACTCCTCTCTCTCTCCTGTTTCTCTTGTGAGACTGAGGAAGTCCCCAACAAGCTCTTTGCCCCCACAGCACTCGGGATGTCCTTCAACTTGGGAATGCCTTTCTCATCCTGGGGTGCAAGTGTTGGCTCAATAACAGATATAGCTGAGGAACAGGATATGCCCTGAGGTCCTGCTGGGCTTGGATCCCCTCCCAGACTTTCAGAGGTGGCTACAAGAGAGGTTGCCTCATCCACTGGGACCAGTGTCGCAGAGATGGTGGTTGCTGAAGTAACAATGGTCTTGGTGGCCTTGGTTGGTTCAACTTGTTCCATTTTGTTCACCTCAAGGAAAGCAGAAGAACAGGTTGGAAGGATGAGAAATTGCCCAAAGCATCAGGAAGAAGAGAACAACTCCCCTAAGGCTGCCAGGCCACAGCCTCCTGTGCTTTCTGTGGGTCTTTCAGACACCCATTCCCAGGAGCTGCTAGTTAAGAGCAGGGACTCACCTGAGGGAGCCTTCCCCAGATCCACTGCACGTGGGATTCAGCCCCTAAAGCAAAATTCTCCTGTGGTCTGATCTCCAGTTCAGAGTCACTTCTGGGAGAAGATGGATGGTTCACTGTGAGACTGCAACAAGAGAAGGTGATGTGGGACCTCACCTACACTCCAGCCCCATGTTTTCCTCTCAGCACAAGGACATATAGGGCCATGCATCCTGAAAGGCTGGTTTGCCCAATAAGGCTGTCACTTACAAAGGAGCAAGACCTATGGAAGCTGAGGACCAAGGAAGCAAAGTGCTGTGCCAGTGGTTGTCCAGAGCAGCTCAGCAGCAGAGACCTCTGTGCATGCAGGTCTCTTGCATCTGTGACCATGGTCACAAGCATCCCTTGTGGCCTCTGAGCTTTCCCCCCAGCCACACCATATCAGACCAGGAAAATCCTCCACCCTTCCATACCACCTTCCCAGTCACAAGGCACATCCCCCTGCTCTCACCAAAGCTGAGCAGAACATCTTGGCTCTGCCCATTACCTGTCTGCAGAGGCCAACTCCCCATCGGAGTACGGGTACATTTCTGGGGTCTGCAATGACCTGGCTTCTTCATCAGGGAGATCAGCGAGGGATAAACACACTGCATTGCTGCAAAGAGGGAAACAGGTCAGTTGTACTACTCTCAAGCAGTAGCCTCCTCTCCAGAAAGCTGGCAATACTCAGCTTCACCATTTCCACTGGCTTGCTACTCCACAGCAGGCTGGGCTTAGCTTGGAAACATCTTCTCACTGTTTCAGTACTGCTGGGCATCACCATGTGACCCCACAGGCTTGACCCACCACATCACCCTGCCCATATCACCTTGGGGCTGGCAGCTTGCATAGTTCCTCCATGGACATCTCACTTTTCATCTTCTCACAGCTTTCTGACTCAGAGTCTGACACCTCCTTCCTCTTGGGCTTTCTCCTGCGTCGCCTCCTCTTGCGCAGGGTTATTTCAGCACTGGTAGCCTCCTGCCCATGGGAGGGCTGAGCAGCTTCCTCTGGGCTCTGCTCCTTGGGGATGGGGGATGTGCAGAGGTGGGAGGGGATGCTACCCTGCAACAGGGATGGGGAAGAGCCCATCAGCTCCCTCCAGCACTCTCCTTTCCAGCCCAGCAGCTCGTTGCTCTCTCCTATGGAACGTACTCTACCAACACAACCAACATCACTGAGCCCTAAGCTCAGGGGTGGTTTTGTGGCCTGGCCTAAAAGGAAAGGGTTTGTACATACAACATGTGAATGAAAGAACAGTAGGGCAATCCAGCCACAAGCTGAAGACCTCTTTAATGCAGGCAAGAAGAGACAGGCAGGAGATGGCACCACAAGACCAGAATTGCAAAGGCTGCAAATGGGTTTCGGCTCTAGAGCCCTGTCCTGCTCCCAAACCCAGCCCAAGCTAGCAGCAACCACAAGACAGCCTGTGAGAAGAGCTGCCAAGATTTCTGGAAGCCACAACTAGTCTCATCCCACTTCCCAGTGGAGTGGACTGCCTGCCACAGCATCTGTCTCACTCTCATCCCTGTCCCAGGATGCCTCAAGAGGCCAAGCTCCAAGATATCTGCCCAGCTGGCCAGCAGCCATGCCCATTGATGGAGACCAGTCTGGGATGCAGATATTTGGACTAATACTCCCTCAGGGTGCTCCACTGCCCAGATTCTCCACACTGGTTGCAAAGTCCTTTGAGTAGGAACCTTTCCAGACATGGAAAACATCAGAGAGGAGTCACTCTGGGGAAGAGCAGCATTCCAGACCTGGTCATTCCACCTCAACCCTGCACTTCCAGGTAGTCACAGTGGCACACAGACCTACAGCACCTCTTCCTCACCAACCTCATTCTCCTCTGACTCCTGGACAAAGAAGGCCTCTCCATTGTCTCCCAGCTTCATGTGCAGATCCACAGGCTCCCCATTGATTTCAATGTCAACCTAGCAGGGGCAGAAGCAGAATGTCCTTCCAAACCCACTCATCCCTTGGAGCACAGGGGCATGTCCCCAGAGAGGGGACAGGTTGGGGGGCTGACAGTGACCCAGCCACACCAGGAAGGAAGCATAGCCTCAGGGCAGGTGCCACTTACCACCTTCTCCTTGGAGCGCAGCACTCCCAACTTCCCGAAGCGCACGTGAAATGGGGAGCACTGGAAGGAGTTATCAGGCTGCCTCACCACAACCACATCGATGCAGCCTGTCAGGGTGGCAGGGTTGAGGCCCCGGTACAGCTCCTTCACCGTGACAAAGACAGTTTCAGCCAGCTGCCCCACGTAGTTCATGGTTTGAGACTGCAAGTGAGAGACAGGAATAGACTCAGGAAGGGGAAGAGAACTTCAGCAGCTAAATGCAACCTCATTTTACTCCAGAAGAGTCATGCCCCAGCTGCAAACACAGGCCCATCATGAGGACAGGTAAGCCTCTAGGAAAACTGAGGCAAACACCTGAAGGGCCTTGATGAAGATCAGCCAGGGCCTCTGTGAGCACCAGAAAACAGGACAGAGCATGAGTTATTGCATCCAGCTTGGAGGAAGGATGCCTTTGCCATTGGGATACGCCATCACATCAGCCCCTTGGGAGGGCAAATACAACCTCACAGCAGCACTGCACAGTCAAACATCCTGTTCAAACAAGAATTTGGTTGGCAGGAGACCTCCTGCCCTGCACTGTCCTTAATAAAAACCCAAACAACTTAGGGCAGAGAGGTGGGAAGTCTGAGCTGCTGCATACACTACACACTCACTTTGAACAAAGTCCAAACCTAACATGGCCCTTGCCACCATCATCCATCTTCCCAGGGAATCCCAGTAAAAGGGCTGTGCTTCCCAGAGGACACCCAGACAGCTCTGTCACTCCATTTTCACAAGGCACTGCTGCACTCCAAGGTTGTACAACTCCTGGTTTTCATTAGCAAGAACACATGGGAAGGAAAGCCTTGCCTGCTTCCTACTCATCCTCTTGCCCACACACATCCTCCAGCCACTCACACCCTGACTGGAGACAATTCCCCTGCACCATGCTGGAGCAGAGTCCTGGCTGCAAAGCCAGAGATCCACATGGTCCATGCTGGGCTTGGGACTCCAGCTACACAGGGTGGCATGCATGTTCCAAACAGCTCTCATGCAGCCCTCCTTCCTGCAACCCATCCCTGGCAGCTGTGTCCAGGCCAGCACACAGAAATCCCTGCAGTATGTCCTTGTCAGTGTGCAGAGTGTTGTTCCCAGGCCCTGGGCCAGAGGATCCCTTTGCTCCATTTGCTCAGCACTCAGCATCAGCAGGACAGCAGCATCAGCAGGACAGCAGTCGTAGTGTCAGCACATCCCACCAGGAGCTGGGAACCACAGAGGGTGAGCCCAGCTCCCACAGCTGTGCACCCCACCTTGTCCCAAGGAGAGCAGGAGGACACAGGGTGACCATGGATGAACTAAAGGAAACCTTTTGTGCTGGCAGCACAGCCAGATGATGGTGTGGCATCCTCAGGGGCGCTCAGCACAGCCCCCAGCACACACCCAGCCCAAGGGGCAGCTGGTGAGAGTCGATTCCTTACCCAAAGGGACGAGGACAAGCACGTGCCACCCGACGAGCCCTCTGGCCCAGCAGGTGCCCAGCCCCTCCGATCCGCTTGGCACAAGCTCAGCCCCGTCCCGTTCCCAGACATCCCTCCTGGCAGGCAGTCTGCGTGGGCAGACGCAGTTCCCACTCCATGCCCTGTCCCACACCTCTCCCTGACAGCCCAAAGCCCAGATCCTCCCTGGGGGATGATGGCAGGGAAGTGCTAGGCAGCTCCCGAAGCTTCGGTGCCTCCATCAGCTCTGCGGCAGCAGGACCAGGATCACGGGGCCACCACCAACCTGCTGAGCCCAGCTTTCCCAGGCATCCCTGCCGGGGTGGGCAGCCCTCCAGCTGCCTTCCCTGCTGCGCCGCAGGGCCTGGCAGCAAACAGGAGAGAGCTCCTCGCTGCACAGGGCAGGATTTTTGGAGGAGAGGAACAATCCACTTGGCACCGATGCTCCCAGGGCAGTGCTGATGGGCTCTGGCTGGGATACACACTGACAGACCTTGAAAAGTGCATTGGGAAAATTCTGGGTAGGTATATCTGGTTTGGGGTGGGGGCTTGGAAATTGTCCCCAGGAACAGCTCCACACTGAGCATCACCTTCATGGCAAGCACAGGGGGCAAGAGATCAATGCAAAGCTGCAGCCACACAGTAAAAAAACACATGCCAGAGATGCATTCCCTCTGCAGAGCCACTGTTCCCCTCTGCCCCAGGCATCTCACTGCTGGGCACTGCTGGGCATGGCCTTGATGCAGTTTTCAGCTCGCTGAGTTTAACTCCCTGTGGCCTCACCTGGGATAGCTGGAGGAAGGCAGGGAATGGACAGAAAAGGCTTTTCCCTGCAAGCCTCAGGCTCACCATGGGTGGGGGAAGCTTATTAGGGAGGTAAAGGGCAAGTCATAATCTGGGTATGACTAATAAGTGAACAGGGCAAGAGAAAGGGTTTTCAAGTCACATTCAAAACCTATGGAGGAATGGGGCATCTCAGCCCCCAGAGCAGCAGGGCACAGCTCTCCACCACACAGCTCTCACAGAGGGAGACTAGGACAGTCCTGCCCTGTGGAGGCAACACAGCCCACAGACACATCAACACCTAAAAGGCTTTCCAAAATAAGTCAGATGTTTTGCTGACACCAGCCTGCTCTGCTACCGGGCCATGCTGCCAGCAGCACATCCTCTCCATATCCACATCCACACCCCACTCCTACCCATCACATACCACAAAGCTCTGGGACCTTCTCCATTACCTGAGCAGCTGCTGAGCCTCAGCACCTCCTCGACTTCAGCCCAGAAACCCCATGGGCTGCTCCCTGCTCACCCTCAGCTCCTCCTCTCCCTGCAGCTTCCTTCCTCTCACCTGAGCAAGGGGAGGGCCCCAGAAACAGCACCCAAGCCTCAGACTGTACCTCCCACTGAGCCTATGAGGGCTCCCGGGAGGCTGGAGGGTGGATCTGGGCAGGCAGTGACACCTGCACACAGCAGCTGGGACTCATTGCAACCAGCTTCTTTGCTCCAGCAGCTCTGGGCAGAGCTGCCAGCTGCCCTGACTCTTCCTTCTCCAGCCCACCCATCCCACAAGGACACAGGGAAGTCTCAGTGAGACGTAAAGGGAGGGAGTGGGTGGCCAAGTCCCAGGGGCATCTCTGCCCTGCTTCATCTTCAGTGGGATGGGAAAAGAGATAATGTTGAAAGAAAAGCACAAAAAAGCAGAGGCTTTAAGAAAACAGAAGCTCTTCAGATCTCAAGGGGCCTGAGAGCAGTGGGGAAGTGATGTGGGAATAGCCAGGCGGACTCAGGTGAGAAACTGAGGTGGTGGGGTTTTTTTGTGCCCCCCTAAATGTGCATTGACTCCCACCATACTGTGTCTGTGGGGCAAGAATGTGGCTGGTGTGGGCTCTGCCCCGTAGCCACCCAACCCCTGTGCAGGTGATTCTCCAGTACCCTCTGTGCTGGGTTTTGGAGTGATAGGGATTGAGTGGTGACAGCTCCTGGTCTGGACAAGAGCTGTTGGCACTTTGGGGATGAAGGCTCTTCTCCTGGTGTGCATGAAGGGCTCTCTCACCCATACCTCATGGAGCTGATGTTGCTCTGTGAGAGCAGGGAAGCATCAAAGCTGGAAGATGGCTGCTTAGGACCTCTTCAGCCCCTGTGACAAACCACCCAGGTTGGTCACAGCTGATGGGTTGATCTGCAGAAATGCCACAGGTCATTCCCAGATAAGCCTCATTACCTCCCTGTACCTCAGTTTCCTCAGCCATGCCATACTGGTAAGGCTGGTGGCAGTGGGAGGCACAGAGATCCCCCTGTGCCTGTCCAACACCAAGCACAGCCTGGACACAAGGTCTCAGAACCAACACGGGAACCTTCCTGAAGGCTGTGACAAATCAGCTGAGGAAGGAAACCTGTTTTCCAGCAGCTTCATGTTTCTGAGATCTCTACCCCTTGGTGAACTTGGACTGAAAGCAGATATTGTGGGTGGCCAGGCACAGCTGCAGTCCCCAAGGAGGGTGGGCTGGGACTGCTAGCACTGGCTGCTGACCCCAGTGGCACAGGTGGCTGCCACCAAGCCCCACAGCCCATGGCCAGGTCACTGGCATTTGTGCCCAGCAAGGAAGAAGCATGCTGGAACCTCCATCTAGACACCTCAGGATGTGACACCTCAGCTCCTCTGTCCTTAGACTAGTGCTCAGTGATGCCACCAGAGTGGGTCTCACCCAGAGCAGTGGGTTACGCCCTGCAAGCCCTGGGGCTGCAACACAAACCCCAGGCCTGGAACACAAAGGCAAGGACAGATCTGGGCTGCAGATGCCTGGTAACTGGTCAAAGTGCAGCAGAGGACATTTCAGCACAGGACACCGTTTCTTCCTCAGCCAGCTGAGTGCATCCTCAGGTGAGCACAGAAAAGGAAGGCAAAGCCAGCAGGAGCATGTGGGCAGCTCAGCCTTGCAGTGGCTCCAAGCCCCCACCCTCTGGACACAGGAATGAGCTTCTGGCACTCAGACACCCTGCAGAAGTACCTTCCCCATCACTTATCTCCAAGGTTCCTTGCCCAGCTGGTTTTCCCCACCATCCTTGATGCCTGGCTCCCGACACACCAGGCTCTGCTCATCCCACCATGCCCCTGCAGCAGATCCCCAGCTGTGCCATGGCTGTGCTGGGTGATGGCTGTTCCTCCCTTACAGATTCTTTCTTTCTTTCTCCTCCCAAAAGCTTAAAGCACTTTTAATTGCCATGGTAATTTTTTTGCAAAGCCATAAAATTATCCTTGGTTCCTGCCAGCTGCTTTTCATACTCCCTCTTACTCCCCCTTCCTCTTTTTTGGTAGGTGAGCCTTGCAGATTCATCACTCCCTGTGCTTGTAATCTTGAGCACCCCAATTTCTCTGTGCATCCCCCACATTCTCCCCCAGGAGCTGCTCCAACAGGGAGAGGTTTCTCCCCCCTTTTGGAAACTCCTCAACATGCAGATGTTTGCAATGAGCCTTTGCAAAACAAGACAGATTTTCTTATTAGTCAACCAAGATGCAATATTTTCAGGTTCTTGGATTCCAAAAAGCTCACACCCACATCCATCTTGGTGGCTTTCATCCTCCACCCCAGCAATCCCCACCCATCCTGGATCATGACCTTCACCCTGCACTGGGCAGCACTCCCTTTGGGCTGTGCCATGCATCTGCTGGCTGCAGTGCTGGAAGCCACAACTTCAGTGTTTCCAGGGCCTCTCCAG